AAGAAATATAAGGAAAGACTAAAAATGTTAGTCTAATGGGTCCAAACAACTTTTTTAAGTAGATTTATTTAGACTCCTTCTCTTTTAATAGTATAGATTTATCAACACAATTTTCTACCAAAAATTACACATCGAAAAACAAATTCTCTAAACATTAGGAGAAAATTGCGTTGATTAATGAAATTACAAAGTAGAAGTTAGAAAATAAAAAAAAAATTTATTACAAACGATAGATTATGAGAAAACAAGGCAACACTGCACGTGTATCAAACACGACCAACTCGCCGTCACCACCACTCACTGAGTCAAACCGAGTTCGAACATCCGAGTCAACCGAGTCATACCTCAACTCGTTTCTCCTCGAGACTCTTCCCGCTATCACTCGGCAAACCAGCATTGCCTTCCTCCCTTTACCTCCACCGGCCTTCTCATGCGCCATGCAACTCCCGGCGAACGTAAAAATCGACGCGCCGCCGCCTTTTCCTCCAAGAATCCCCCACGCGCCGCCGCCGTAACTCGGACCCAAACAGTAAAACCTCATCGTCTCGTTCCCGTCGGCGACGGAGCGCGCGTTCTCCTCACGCGATTTCCCGACGCTCCTTACCTTCACGGCTTCGCGATACTCCTCGAACCGGGTCAGAGTTTTCGACCCGTTTTGCACTTTGAAGATCATTTCGACCCGACCCGGAAACGGCTTCGGGCCCCAGCTCGTGTTGAAGATAATCTCCACCACGTTGCGAGACTGGTGCCCCTCCGCGAGCTCCGTTAGCGTCGGCAAAAGCGGGTCAAGCACTATGGATGATCGGATCCGGGTTGAAACCGGGTCGGATTCTGGTTTGTCGGGTTTTGGTTTTGGTTTTTTAGTGTTGATCACGTCTTTTAGGTTCTGTCTGCTTCTTCTGCAGCTGTAGCTTGACGTTAGACGTTTCGGATTCGGGTTTGGGGTTTTGGTCGGGTTGTAAACGTCGTCGAAAGCTTTAGACTTGCACTGCCATGACTTGACCCACCCGCTAGACATATCCAAGATCCAGGCCCGAAGCTCTTTAGTTTTCTTTTTTTGTTTTATCTCTCTCTATAGCTCTGAAGAACTTTGAAGCATATGAAACAGAAGCAGAAGAAAGCTTTGTCGGGGTGATGATGATAATAATAGTAATGAATATAATAAGTGCAAGTCTTGGTGTAAATTACAATATTACTCCTTGCTGTAAAAGGAAGGTCAAGTCTAGGGTGGGCAATTTTGTCTTATTATTAATGGGAGAGGTAGTTGATTAGGCCTCGGCGTTCAGTGGTCCATTCGGTATCGGTTCGGATGATTCAAATTTTCAGATTTTCGGTGTTATGTTTATAAGTATCATTCGGTTTTTATTAATTATCGGATCGGATTCGGTTTGATTCCTTCTGAATTCTGTTCGGATCGGATCTAACCAATGTTTAAAATCGTCTAAAAATAAAAAATTTAAAACCTCGAAAATTGACAAAAAAATTTCAAAATATATAAATTATTTACAAATATAATTAAAAATTAGTTATACTATCTAAATTAACTAAAAGGTATTCAAAATAACAAATAAAATAAACTACAAAAGTATTTTGAATTCTAAAATATCTAAATCACCTTAACATATATAAAAACATTAACATATTTAACTAGTTTTAGATATCTTTGGGTCCTAATTCAGATTTCGGTTTGGTTCGGATTATAACCAAACTCCAAAGTAATAAGCTTATAAGTCATGTTCAAATATTTTTGTAAAACATTTTGGATTCGGTTTCGATTTTTCCGGTTCGGATAGAGGTCGGTACTTCGGGTTGAGTTAAAAACGCCCAAGCCTATAGTTGATTATGTAAAAATAGAAGTTTTTGATATGATCTTGTGTAAGAAAAATACACAAAATTTAAAATTTAAAATTATACATAGAAATTTAATGGAAATTTTACAGCAGGGTTTTACTGTCTTTATCTTGGTACAGTCTTGTATCTTTTTTTCCTTCTTGTGTTATTAGTTAGCTGCGTATCAAAAATGGAAGAAAAAATTTTCTTTTTATAGTTTCAGAAAGTTTGCTTTTGATTTTATGTAAGATAACATACAACGAACAAGACGGAAATAAATGTAGGGAAAAAATTGACAGTGGGGTTTTATTGTTTTTATTTTTGTACAGTCTTGTGATTCTTGTCTTTTTATCATAAATGATTTAAAATAATACTCAAATAACAATTTTCAAAATAAGGTATTTGTTTTATCTCAACAATATAATTTCACATGTAATGTCTATTCAATTCACATTTATGATATCTGGATCTTTTAGTCGATGACAAACATATTTCGAAACCAATGTGGATCTTAACGCTATCAATACCAAAAAATATATTCAATACATTTTTAGATTTCATTTCGACAATTTAAATTATAGTTACGTTAACCCTTTTATAATGTACTAAGTTATAAAAGCTGATATTCGATCAGTTGATACTTGATACCAATTGAATACCGAAACTACTAATCAATTCGTTGACAAGTTTACCCCAAGCGATCCTACTAAAACAGTTCAACTATTTTTTTTTTATGTTAAACACATTGACTACCCTGATACGTATCTTTTGTATATTTTATGTATCATACAAATTTGAAAAACAATTAGTCATAATTTACATTTTTCTTTTTTGAATGATTGAGAAGGTTTGGACCTATGAACTCTAGCATTCCAAGGTCTAATATCATATAGTACGAAAACAAAATATATAAGATAATTTTCATCAAAAATAAAGGAGAATTTTTCATCAACGATTATACACCTCTTGAATCTATGGTCTGTAAAATTAGTAGTAAGCAGCCCAAGAGTTTTAATCAGTAAATAAACTCCTTGTTGAACAAAAGAAAAGCGATCCTTTGATCCGTTCCTATTTTTCTACACGATTTGTTTCTTTTTTTAAGTCATTGATCAATAGTACCTTATCTGAGTAAATAAACACACAGAAATTTGTCATACATTTTCTTAATCTATAGCTCAACTGCTCGATATGGAATTCATATTCACGGGTTCGTGAGTTAACATAATACTCATGAAATCAAACCAAGAAAGAATTTAGATGTAAAGTTGATAAAAAAAAAGAATTTAGATGTATACTGAATAAACATAATATAAAACAGATATGTGTCTGCGATATGCGTATCTTAATTACTTGTCATCCTACTATTATAAAATCATATCGTTAACTTACTAGGGGTTAGTGTTGTAGTTATGGAATCTTTTAAAATTTAGAGATTTACAAAAACAAAATAGAAGAATAGAAGAATAGAAAGAGAATGGAAGCTGCCAACCAGAGACTAATTAAACAAATCGCACTGAAAATTTTGAAATTCTCACATAATGACACCCATTTTCTTCTCCTTGTCGTCTCCCTCTTTTTCTTCTCATTCTTTAATCAAATATTTCTAATTTATCTTATAATAACCTACCTTGATCATACTACTAATTAGCCTTGTTTAACCTACATAAGCATTTGATTAATCAATGAGAAGTGCTTATAAATCATTGTTGGTTGGTTGGTTGTGAGTTGTGACAAAAAATCATTGTTGGTTCTGTTAATAACTTTTCACACTTTTTGCCAATTCTTTGTCTTTTGATTCTTCTGTATAACACATTTCATCTATTTTTACAGTTCTTATGATGTTTACAAAATTGTCATTTTCCTATTTTGGGTGCAAATTTAGTTTTAAAAATTCTTATTCTTCCGGTTACATGTAGGCATTAAACGAATATAGAGATTTGGAAGTATTTATAATTTGATTATATTCATTTCATCTGAATGATCAATTATTTGATGGGTTGATCTGTTATGTAGTTATCCAAATATTTAGTGTTCGGATATCCATAAATTTATACTTTTAACAGGATATATGATCTGTATAAAAAAATAAAAACTAAAGTTAAATAAAATCACAAAATAATATAAAAATAATATTTTATCATATAATAAATTATTTACGTTTGAAGCTCTAATAATAAAACATCAATTTGATAAAAAAATTATATAAATCTACATAAATATAATAAAAATAATCTGGTAAATGTATATATATATGTATATAACTGATCAAATCGAAGATTTGCTTCCAGAAATATTAGTATTTATGATTGGATTATTTTTATACAGATATTTCTTATTAATATTTTTTTTTGTATCCTAGAATTAGAAATATCCAGAATTTTTTATTCGAATTGAAATAACAACGAATCGAAACAAAATTTACAAAATATATTCTGCCAAGTCCTACTTCCGAGTAGTACAGCTTATTAGTTAGAAAGTGAGAAATGCATAGCCTTGTTTAGACACTTTTTATGAGTGACAATAACAATACTCAGAACGATATTTTCAGGTTGTCATCTCCAGCTGTTTTTGACTATTTTATTTTCTATTTGGCTCAACTACCCAATGTGCTCACATTATATGCTTATAAATTATAGACTAACCATATGATTCACAGCTACGTCTATATATGCATATGTTAAGAATATTTTCTTTTTGCTGGAAGATTTATAAATACTATACTACTATTTATTCGAATCTCATCAATCAAGCCGGAGTTATAACATCTGAATCTGTCAATCTGATTGGATATATATATAATCATTTGAAAAGGGAGAAAAGGAAGAATTATAAAAAAAACTGTTCTACAGGATGTGTTTGTGAAAAAGAACAGATCACATATAGGGCCTAATCACATATGCATTAAAACGGTATATACTAAAAAGATTTTTTTTTTACAACAAAAGTAATAAAACCGCAAACTTAAAAGTTTTATGGCGAAAATAATTATTTTTGTGAAGAAACTTTTGGGAGAGTGGGTCGCGTAGTAGCATGAGGAGGCCACAACTTTGAAATATGCAAACACCTAATTAAAGCAGTTCTATTAAACAATACAAGAAAGCAAAACAAAATAATAGAATAATACATACTCCCATTCCGCACGTAATCATAAATGGTTTGAATTTAAGGCCAAACTTAAGTCAAGGTATTTAAATACTAAACATCCTTAACTTTTCAAAATCTTTCAAAACACCCTCACTATTTATTTTTAAAAGTAGATCTATAAATTACAAATTCTAAGATCAATTACAAAGATATGTCCATATATATGATATAGCAAAATTTTAACTAGTCAGATTCTATTAGACTATCGCCAAAAGAAATTTTATAATTTCAAATATAGAGTGTTACTATCTAAAATTTTTAAATTTTTATTTTTATTTTGATCATTATAATTATACATCACATTTATAATTCTAAAATATTTTTTTATTTCTCGTTTTAATCCTTAAAAAAATTTCCCTAATAAATATTTCAATTTTTTATAAATTTAAATATTACACATAAATTTTTGAAAACATTAAAATAAGGTTTAAAATATTTCAAAAATAAACAAAAACAAGATCACAAGATTTAATATGATATCTTGCTTGTAGTTTAATATTCAATTATTTTTTTCTATTTATGATTTTATAAATTTAGTGCACATTTTATTAATTAACATTGCTGTAAATATCTTTGTGTATGTGCTATTTATTTATAAAAAACTTATGAGTTTAAATTAGTTATGATAAATATAAGGATCATATTATAAAATACAAATAATTTAAAAGTTAAATTTGAAATTTTACTTTTGGAGAAGAACAACTTTAAATTTGAAATATAGAGTTTTGAAAATTTTAAAATTGAAAATATTTTTTGGAGATGCTCTTAGTTAGATATAAATTCCTTAGAAAAATGCTTATTTTTAGATAACTCGTTACTTGAAAGTTAAAACTTAAAACCAGTATATATAGTCTTGACGTGTTGTTTTGAATTAAGCAATTAAGCAAGTCAGAACTTCTCCAGGAAGTGGGTATTACGCATACACTACCCCCATAATTAGGACTAAGATGATCGTTTCAAAAGTTCAAAGTTGCGTTGTTGCTTGGAGAAGTTCATACACTATTTTTTTGCAATCTACCCAGTCTCTAGGGCTTTGTTTGCCATTCTCACTTTCATATTCAAATTGCATGAGCAGTAGATTATAAAGTGTGTAATGATTATGAGATCCACAATAAAGAACTAAAGAAATCAAATACGTATGGGGCTTGGAATTGAAATAAAAAGGAGTGCCAATAAGGAAGTTTGGTTGGGATGAAGCTCTAGGGTTTTGTGAAAGATGTAAGTTTTGTAATTGTAATGTTTTATTTTCGACAGCCTTTTTACTTCACGCTTTGCCCTAAGAATCTTCTTGGTCTCCTCCGGGAATGGTGTTCAAATTCTTTTCGGCTTATTTTAACCCTCAGTAACTAGTTTAATTACGAATATAATCCGGGTGAACCAAACCATCTCAATCAAAGTTAAACAGTAACACTCCTTACTGTCGGATTTCGAAGAAGAAAATTAATTAATCCATCAACCAACCTGTTAGTTTAAAACACTTGATGCAATCCAATTTAAAGAGTTTAAATGTACCATACATTCTCCCATATTTCAAGAACGTCAAGAACATACGCTGACAAGAACGTACGCTGTTTATGTGTAGGTTGACCTAAATAAAGGTATATTTATTGATTGTTTACAATCTCAATAGTTTGTGGTTGGAGAGTTAAAACTCAAAAAAAGTTTAGTGCTAAAATATACTCCACATGATTTTGACATTGAAATAGTGTCGGAGACTCGGAGATGTCCTTATACAGTTATAATCTCCTACCCATCCTTTTTGTCAAAGAACAATTAAAATCCTGTGTATCAATCAATTCATGAAAATAAATATGTAATTAATGATAGAGTTCTTCTTTGTATTATCTCAGTATCAGAAAAAAATATTAAACATTGACCTGTAAAGAGGATAAATTAACAAGAAACATAACTTACAAGTTACAACTGTGGATGGGGTGTTCTTGTACCCGTTCGGGTTCGGATCAAGTATTTCAGATTTTTTGGTATTTCGGTATAGGGGTCTAGAACCCGTTCGAGTATTTTTATATATCGGGTCGGGTTCAGGTATTTTTGTTCGGATTCGGTTATTTCGGATCGAGTTCGGATATTTTAGATTTTCAAAAAAAAAAAAAAAATCAAATTCTTCATCACTCAATTTCTTTTTTACAAAACTGACTTTTTGAATTTTTAATAGGTTAAATGATTAATAAGTTTGGAAAAAAAAATTCTAAAAATTGAAAAAATACTAGTTTAGTTTAATTAATGGTTTGAGAATTTGAATGCAACTTTTGTTAATGTATGAAATAAAAAGGATGGATATGCATTTTAATTGAATAAAAAATTATTTTATCCACAAATATATGTATATTATCTGATTTCGAACTATGTAGAACATCAATATAAATATTTTGGGTAAAATAAGAGAAGTAAACTAGAAATATAAGACTAAATATACATATCTTCGGTTATCTTTGGATATTCATCCGGGTTCGGGTATTACCCGTTCGGATTCGGATATCCAATCTCTCTTAATTCAGTATTCGTTCAGGTATTTTACTATTTTGATTCGGTTTTGGTTCAGATTTTTTTATCGGGTTTGGGTTTGGGTTTGGATTCTGGTATCGGGTAAAATCCCAGCCCTAGTTACAACGTAGAGGGCATACTAAGAAAACTAGGTGCTAATTTAGCAAGCCCCAAATGTCCATAACTCCATGGGGGTATCAAACAAATGACTATGGGTTTCTGTAACAGTTGAACTATTGGGCTAAGAGATGGGCTAAAGCCTAATTTGGTAGACACACAATGAACTAAATTTTTTTTAACCACCACAATGAAAAAGAGTTGACATGTTGAATTTCTTCTCTTTATTTTTTCTGAACTCACATCTAGAATTTTTTTAAAACTCATCTCTGAAGTCTAGTGTTAGTAGTACTGTTATAAAATATGCTTGTATAAATTTGATAGTACAAATTTTTTCGACACTTATGTATATCAATTGTTGAAATAGTTATCTATTTATTGTATAACTTTGGTAGTGTATGTACATACATATATACCAGTGATTATATTTACTTCGTTTGAGAGTACCTAAACAAGGAAACACAATGGAGATGAGTTTGTAATAACAAAATAAAAGAACTTTAATACACAAATCTACATGACTATTTTTCAAAACATGAACACAACAAAGAGCACAACCATAATCCATTGTTTTAACAAGAAAGAAAGATAAGGAAGTTGATTTAGTCATGCTTCTTGAACCCAAACTTTCCACTTGGGATTCTACTGAGAAAACCAGTATCAATCTTCTTGTAATGACTATGAAACTTCATGAGCAAAGAATCAACAAAACCATCAACTTCATCTTCATATCTCTCATACAGAACCGGCATTGTGTGTGCTCCCACAAACCCTTCACACCACACAAAAAAATGACCTTTCAAACACAATTGCCAACCTTTTTAACAAAAAAAATCAGTAATAAGAAAGACTCACCAATATACAAAACAGTTAGGAAGTTGCAACAGCTCCCTATCATTGCAGCTAACCATAGTCCAATCACAGCCTGAAATTTTTTTAATGCAGAATCATTAACGTTCCATGAACATTATATACATAATGCAATGCAGATGTTAAATAAGAATATATACTACCATGAGGAACTGTTTCAAACTCCCTCTACAAGCCAAGTCCTGAAGAAACATCAAACCACGGTTAACCTCTGTTCCAATGGTCACACCCACATCAGCAAAGAAATCTTTTGGAAGAACAAGGCGAGGCACTCTAGACTGTGACCTGCTTTAAGACATTTTATAATAAAAGAACTTGTTTAGATTGCAATCAAAAGGAACCAATGATATGTTAGAGAACCAACATTACCGGTTTAGAGCCCCTGAGGCATTAGACCAAACGAATTGCACAATCATACCAAGCAAGAGACCGTAACAAACGAGAGAGAGAAAATGGAAGTTGATCCACTCAAAAAGCACCCAAATTGCAGTGGCTCCCATCAGTACACTTGCAGAGATCTTCTTGTTCCTCCACAACAACACATCAGCAGCTGAAAGAATAGAATCTCTCACAAGACTTTGTTAGAACAAAACACAAACACACGAAACCATGATGTCTTTGAGAACTTTTCTTACATTTGCCACCGCCTAAGACATGATGAATAGGCTTCTCACGACCAAACAAGCGGTTGAAACGAGAAGAGACGGTGTCTTCTTCTTGTTCGAAGAAAGAAACATTTTTCTTCTTCTGAACTGTCTCAGTGAAGTTATCAACCAAATCGTCGATAACGTCCTCTACAATACTCTTCTCATGCATGATTCTGAAACAAGAACAAACTCAAGCAGAGCTATATAAAAATCGAATCTTTTAATTAAATTCTTCAATACTAATAAACAAACTCAAGCAGAGCTATATAAAAATCGAATCTTTTTTTTTTCTTTTGAAACTAATAAAAATCGAATCTTTTAGTTAAGTTATTCCGACCAATACTGTCCTAAACCTTATCAAAGTATCCAACTTTTTAACTAGTTAGTTGGTGATGATTACAATGATATGAAACCTAGATCTTATTACTTGACAAAAAAGACCACCAGAGATTGAAGAGCAGAACAAGAGTGAAGATGAAGATGGTAAAGAACAAACCTTGGAGGAGCTGGAGAAAAAGAATCTCACAGAAATGAAAAGTTGTTTTTCTTTGTAGATTCTTAAAGATGATATGAACCGAAAAGGAAAGGAAAGCAAGATGAAGGGTGAAAGTGAAACGTGATGGGATTGGTTAGGTGGAATAATTAAATTGAAACTGTAATGGTTTCAGTTTTAAAAAAATGTGGGCAAGTTTGGAGTTTTGTGTATGGATGGGACTCAGCTGCCCACGTGCTCCTCGTGACAATTCTCTGACTTAGACCATTTGGAGTTTTGTGTATCAATGTCACATGTACATATATGTAACCATGGGCTTCAAAATCTAGCCAAGCTTTGAGTGAGGTTACTCTGTTTCAGCTCCCATGGCATTAAGAAACAAAGTAGGAAACATTATGAAATGCCTTTTCACTAATCCAAAAGCATATCTGAGTTGATACAAAATTGCCTTTTGTTTTTCTTTTCAAGAAATTAAACACATTGTGACAAGAGAAAGCGTGTCTTTAAACACAACCAATGGTAATGACATCTCCTCTCCAGATTGAAAAAAGGACAAAAGATTTATATGTCTATAAGTTAGTTACAAAAATGAGTTTGAGATAGTAAGTATATATATCTCTAAAGGTAGTATATTACTATTAATGTCAAAGTTTCATCAGTTCCTAAGAGCCATCTCAGATAGGAAGTAAAAACATAGAGATGAGGAGTCTCTGAGCTCATCTAAACCTACGTTTAGTCTCTCCATATGCAACAACTCCAAGCACTGTTATACTATACCCGCCAATTCCCATCACCGTGACCGGGTTTCGGAATAGCAAGATTGAGATCACAACCGCAACCGCTCCTTTTGCGTTTCCAAGAACCTGAAAACATTGAACACACACACACAAACGTTTGATCCAATCTTTGTAAATGTTGTAATGTTTATTTTATTTATTTTTACCTGGAGGGTAAGTGCGCTTGTGTGTTTGGTAACAAGAAAGTTCAACAAGTTAGCTGAATAAGCCATAACAGAGTTAACCAAAAGAAGTATCCACATGTACTGATGTTGTTTTGCGAGCGTTAGAGTCACACTCATCACATCTGGTTCCATAACTATTGTTACAGGCAGAAGCGCAATGACTGCTATTGGGGACATGTACAGCATCAAATTCATCGAATTCAACTTCTCTCTGCAAGAGACATGTCAAAAAAAAAACTCCAAAAACTCATTAATCTGCTTAGTTCTGTTTTCATTGAGTAAATGATCTTCTTACCCCTCGGAAGACAATAAGATGCCTTGAAGAACAGATTTAAAAGCTCTTGCTGCAGTTGCACTAATGCACATAATGAACCCAAACCAGTGAAAACCTGGCTCACCCTGTGAACACAGATCATTAAATCAATTCCATTAAGTTAATACAGAAACTCCATAACCAACAACATGACAAAAACAGAACATTCAATGACAAAGGCCTTGTAAGAGAAACACAACCAAGTCTGATACTTTATATAACACAGGACTCGAATAACGCAGTCAAGTAAAAAAAGGAAGAAACTTTAGATAACACAGCCAAGCAAAAAAGGAAGACACTTTAGATAACACATGACTTAAATAACGCAGTCAAGCAAAAAAGGAAGAAACTTTAGATAACACATGACTCAAATAACGCAGTCAAGTAAAAAAGGAAGAAACTTTAGATAACACATGACTCGTAATTGTGTTTACTAACGTAATCATTCATCTTTAATACTAAAAGAAATAACCTTTTTGGGTTTCAGACACACAAAACATTCATCTTTAATATCAAAAACCAAACAATGGATGGATCAGACATGTAAATCTACAGAGACATAACACATCATCAAAATAAAAGACAAAAAAAGACGTTACCCCACTAGCGATCACAACACCAGTAACAACGGGAACTAGAGCACCATACGTAACCCAAGCCTCTCTCTTAAACGTCATAAGATACGCAAACAAGGCCGTAAAAAACGGCGTCGTAGCACCAACAGCCTGATTAAACGAAACAGGAAGATAACGCAAAGAAACATTCCCACCAACAACAGAGGCGCAAAACACAATGCTGAGCGTCGCGACCTTCATGAACTGGGAGCGAGATTTGAGGTGCTGGAGAGGGACGAGCTTGAGGAAAACGATGGAGACGTAGCTGAGGATGGCGCAGGCTGACATGTGGCACATTGTGAGGAAGATTGGGAATTTGAAACCGTAGTTTGAGAGGAGGAACTTGTTGAGGAGGAGGACGCCGATGTTGGAGGTGTACCAGAGGAGGATTAGGGAGGAGATGAAGAGGGTTTGTTTCTTTGGGGAGGAGGAGGAGGAGGACATGTCTGGTTTCTGATCTGGGTTCTTTTTGTTGTTCATCTTCTTTGGTTGTTTGATGGAGATCGGAAGTTTTGGTTTGATGGAGAAAGGAGAGAGAGAGAGATGTAGGGGAAAGTGTTGAATTGTTTGGTTGCTTTGTTTGGTAAAAGTAGTTAATGTATACTTTTAAGATTGACTAATTTAATATTAATCTCTAATTTTAAATAATAGTAAGTGTAGTTAAAAATTTATTATTTTCTATAGATAAACCATTTCTAATAAAAATAACCATTTCTAATATTTTTACAAAATTAATAAAAACAACAATTAACTTTTAAAGTTTACAATTTATCATTATTAATTAAAAAAAATTCAGTACTTCTTTTTTATAAACTAACAAAATTGTATATGTATAAATTTATTAATGTCAAATAATAATTTAGAAAATTTAAATCTTTCTTTTTTCAAATTGAATTAAAATAAATAAATTATTATGATTTATGCACTACATTGTCTTATTTTTGGTTTGTCTTTTTGAAGGTTTATTTTTGGTTTGTCATCCTTGCAAAGGAAAAAAAATCATTGAAGATATATGTTACTCAAAGAGTCAAAACTATCTATTTTCATTTCTTTTTCGGATTAGGTAAGAATTAGGTAAAATTGGTCTTCAATCAAGTTCCATTTCTATATTAGGACTAGGGTTTTCAATTGTATTAAATGGAATTCTTGTTTTTAAATAAAATGAACGTTTACATGTTAAAAGAAATCTTAATTAGCTAATTAAAATTTCTAACTAATACCAAAAGGCAAAAACATAATTATCCAGTGTTACGTATTTTACTACTTTTATAGTTGATAGTTTGTAATAGCATAATTATCAGTGTTAAAAACAAACAATTGCACAAAATATTTCTATTTATAATCCCCAAAACTATAATCACAAAGATAAACGCATACAAAAAGAAAAGACAATTGAACTTGAAAAACAATCTTAAACATTATATAAGAACCGAGTCTACGTGATAGAATAAAAAACGCCTGACGATTATTTGCGATGGATATGGCGATTTCTATATCTCAATCGCTCAAGCATTAATCTGATCAAGGTATGGTTTTTTTTGATGTTTCACTATCTATTGCTCTTCTCTCTCGTGGAGAAGATACTTCTCTACGGCGGATTGAAGTGTGATTTCACTTCTTTTCAATTCGACGGTACAATTTCCGACATGGTTTATGGGGCCATGGTCGATGACAATATTGTATTGCTTTCAGAATCTGGTAAGGATATCATACGAATCGCTGTTTTTTGGAATCAATGGTCATGGAAGCCACCAAAATATGTCATTGTCACAGCGATGAAAATCTCTGGTGGTTATCATGCAAGTGTGTGGCATATCTGTTGTTTCAAACAAGTCTTTTTAGACTTGTTATGGAAACAACGCCCTCCCAAGAAACCGCCATGGATTCGTCATGATCTAGATACAAAAGGACTAAGATTGACGCCAATAAATAAAATTTTCAATGTTTATATTTTGATACAATATATTTGGTATCAAAATATATTTTTGAAATCGTGGACTACATCAAAGAATACGTGGTAATGCAAGATAGAAGGTTTAATCTCTTTGTTGTATGGCGATATTCTTATAATCGTTAAAAATTGGTCTTTTCATTTTTTATTTCTTAGAACTGAATCAATACATTGGATTCAATATCAAAGAATATATCTTAAACAGAAGAAGACCAATGTAATACAACAAAGAGAATCAATATTTTCAATGCGACGAAGAAATCAAGATCGTAGAAAAATTAATAGAGTGGATACTCTATTAATAAAGACCGCTCAAAGAGAATCATCTCTCAAGAAGATTCATATGTTTTACTTAAGTTATTTGTTGTTGTATTTTCATAATTATGTATGTACTAGTATGTTTTGGTTACGTTCTAATTAATAAAAGTTATGTTGTTAAAAAAAAAAAAGAACCGAGTCTACGTGTTCATGTGTTCAAATTCGAACCAAATTTCCGCTGTTATTAAAAACCAAACCGGGCCCGCCAGAAAAAGCTCATCTGACGAAAAAGACGACGACGGGACGTCAAAGCACGTACATCCAGCAACAACAAAATTGACGCGTCACTCGGCCAATTACGACTACACCCTTCACCGCGTACAAAGCCCATGTGGAGTCTACAACGTGGTCCACTTGTAAATATCTCGAATCAAAACCCCACTTTTATATAAAGTATTCACACATACGTAAAGACATTAATAACATTAAAGCCACTTGTCTTCTTTTCATCTCTCTGAAACCTTCTCCTCCGCCATGTCTGGTTACCCTCCTTCCAACCAAGGTTACGGTTACCCCGGAAACCCACCTCCTCCTCAACCCTACGGATCCTCCGGCAATCCACCTCCTCCTCAACCCTACGGATCCTCCGGTACCAATCCTCCACCCTACGGATCATCACCTTCCTCTCCCTACGCCGTCCCCTACGGCTCTCAACCTCCACCTTCCTCCGCTCCTTACGGCGCACCACCGTCAGCACCGTACGCGTCACCTCCCGGAGGAGACCACAAGCCGCACAAAGAGAAACCGCAAGCCGCTTACGGATCTCCCGGTGGTGGTGGTTACGGTGGTCATGGATCGTCTGGTGGTGGTTACGGAGCTCCTCCGTACGGACAAGGAGGCTACGGAGGTCCTCCTCCTCCTCCTCAGCAGCAGCAGGGTGGTTACGGAAGTCCGTTTGCGTCTTTGGTCCCGTCGGCGTTTCCTCCGGGAACGGATCCGAACATCGTGACGTGTTTCCAGGCGGCGGATCGTGACAACAGTGGTTTTATTGATGATAAGGAGCTTCAGGGAGCGTTGTCTTCGTATAATCAGAGTTTCAGTATGAGAACTGTTCATCTCCTCATGTATCTCTTCACTAACAGTAACGTTAGGAAGATCGGTTAGTTTCTTTTAAAATTTTATCTTCAAATTTTTGTCCAAAATTTTCTTATCAAGAACTTGTCTTTGATCACTAGTATTTTTGATATTATATAATTCCAAGTTGAAGTGTTTCAAAAAAAAAAAAAAAAATTACTGTAACCATCTTTTCATTAGATATATAATGATTTTAATAATGGGAACGTTGCAGGACCAAAAGAGTTTACTTCACTTTTCTACAGTCTTCAGAGTTGGAGGGTAAGTTAATAAAAAGCAATGGTTTTTGGTTAGTTATAAGATATCAAGAATCTTTGGAGAGTTATATGAACTGTTTTGTGTTGTGTCTTTTTTTTTTTTTTTTTTGCAGACTATCTTTGAGAGGTTTGATAAGGATAGGAGTGGAAGAATCGATACGAATGAGTTGAGAGATGCACTGTTGAGTCTCGGGTTTTCAGTGTCTCCTGTGGTGTTGGATCTGCTTGTTTCTAAGTTTGACAAGAGTGGAGGCAGGAACAGAGCTATTGAATATGACAACTTCATCGAGTATGTTCATTTTCTTGTTTTTCCTCTGTGATAAGTATAGTTCCATACTGATTCTTGTTTTTTTTTTGCATTGATGCAGGTGTTGTTTGACTGTAAAGGTATAGTACTATTCTTCATTGCTTGAATCACATTCTTGTAGAGTAGTGTAAGTGTCTGTGTTTTGATGTTTGATGGAAATATAAAATGGCAGGGGCTGACTGAGAAGTTTAAGGAGAAGGATACAGCGTTATCAGGATCAGCTACTTTCAACTACGAGGCCTTTATGCTCACTGTTCTACCCTTCCTCGTTGCTTAAGCTCGTTGGCTTAGCTGTTATGGAGCTTTTGGAATAATTTGCTTTGTAGTTGAATTCTGGAGTTTGCTCTTTTACCTTGTTTCTCGTTGTTGGTTTTGTAAGAGATTTGGATTTAATTGCTTGTGGAATAAAATTTGACTGCTTAAATGGACTAGAATCACATGTATCTAATCATTCCAAAGAGAAATGGCTGCTTCTCCATGTACTCAAACCATGACTTGAGTTAAGCACTCAGTATATATTAGGCTGTTCCGTTGTTCCGTTAGGTCTCAGAACCTCGTTTATTACTATTGGAACTAAACAAAACTAATACTTTCAGAAACTTGGATGTCTACACTTAACTTCCCAAGATCATATACCAGTGTGGTATGCTAAAGAAGATAACCTTCAAAGCCCTTAGTGTGTTCATCTACCAAGCTGCCTTAGTTGTTGTATCAAGTCTAGGTCCAGAAGCGTGAACTCGAACCACGCTTGAACAAGACCATTCAAGTAGATTTGCATCAAAAGTTAGATAAATCTGTTTTGATCCAAAAACAAAAGTTAGACAAATCTGTTATAATAAATTAATAATACTAGAAGAAAAAAATCTTTTGTTATTTAGTTTTTTTTGGTTGTTAAAATTGTTACTATAGTTTTGGCCTACGGATTTTATCAGTACCAACGGAACCGAAATTGATTCGATTCTCTTATGGTTTTGAGTTCGGTTCAATTCGGTTAGATTTTGAAAATAATTCGGTTACATCCGGTTTTTAATTTTCAAAAATAAATTAATAATAACCAAATCGAAGTAACTGAATTTAACTAAACTAACCAGAAAAAAAAAAAATATAGTGAAATCTAACCAAACAAAAAAATTGTTATTTCAGAAATAAAATTAAAAAAAAAATCGAAATTAACCGAAAACAAACTAAACTGACTTTTTTTTTTGAGTTTACTTCGGTGTGATTATGACCGAACCGAACTATCCGAACCCGACACGAACCGAACAAACCGAAACCAGAGTATTAATTTATTGTGCGTCCGAAGCAAATACACGACGATAAACAATATCGTCACCACCGCTTCTGTGTCTTAAACATTATTCCAACAAGTGAGAGAGACGCAAAAAATGACGACTCTTTCATCCTCTCTATTATCTTCTTCTTCTTCTTCTCCTCTATGCAAATCCAGATTCTCTTCAACTCCTCTCCTATCAAGAACTAACTTCATCTCTTTCTCCACCGTCACATCGCCGGCGATTCTTTCCCTCTCCGTCAAACATCAACGCCACAGAAACTCTCTCCAAGGTTCCATTTTTAATCCTTCTTCCTGATTGAAAAACATGGACTTGAGTATTAGACTGATCGAAAAGGTTCTCCTTTGATTTGTGGGTTTAGTGAAATCAGTAGCTAGTCCAACGGAGACGGCGTCAGAGTTCGATGAGATGGTCTCAGGGACGAAGAGGAAGTATTACATGTTAGGAGGGAAAGGAGGAGTGGGGAAAACAAGCTGCGCTGCTTCTTTAGCTGTGAGGTTTGCTAACAATGGACATCCAACTCTTGTTGTCTCCACAGATCCAGCTCATTCCTTGAGTGATTCCTTTGCTCAGGTAAAGCTGAATTTGAACTTGTTTGATTGATTGATGAAAGATGTATGATTGGTTGTGTTTTTTGTAGGATTTGACTGGAGGAATGCTTGTGCCTGTTGAAGGACCTGAATCTCCTTTGTTTGCTCTTGAAGTATGTTGGATAGTTTCAATGTTTGTTTGTTTTGTAGTTGGGGGCATCTTTTCCACTCAAAAATTGAGTTTTAATTTTATAGCATTGTAACAGATAAACCCTGAGAAGGCTAGAGAAGAGTTTCGTAGTGCATCTCAGATGAATGGAGGCACTGGTGTCAAAGATTTTATGGATGGTATGGGACTTGGTATGCTTGTTGAACAGGTTTGTTTGTTGTAGTTGCATCTTGTGCACTTTAATGCCTCTTTGCAATTTTTATGCTGACTCTTTTTGGTTTGGTTGATGAAGTTGGGGGAACTTAAACTTGGAGAATTGCTGGACACACCGCCTCCTGGATTGGATGAAGCCATTGCTATCTCTAAGGTAAATCTATCTGATTCCTTCTTTCTCTTCTCTTGATTTTGTTTCTTGCTGATATTAGTCTAAGGGTGTTGACAGGTCATTCAATTTTTGGAATCACCTGAGTACAACATGTTCACCAGAATCGTGTTTGACACAGCCCCAACGGTGAGCAAGCTTTGCTGAAAACTTTCCCTCCTTTTTTTTAGCAAACTTACTGTTAAGAAAAATCTTGTTACTACTTACAGGGTCATACACTGAGACTACTCTCCTTACCAGACTTCCTTGACGCCTCCATAGGTAAAATCTTGAAGGTGGGAGATGTCAGATAAAATCTTTACTTCTATGTTGTTGTGTTAGTTTGTTAACCAAAGTGCATCTCTTCTGCATCTACAGCTTAGGCAGAAAATAACCTCAGCTACTTCAGCAATCAAATCAGTCTTTGGGAAAGAAGATAACAAGCCTGATGCTGTAAGTCTTTATAATAGTAATCTTCATCTTGTGAGAACATCGTTTTTTAAATTTTGTGTGGATGTGAAAGGCTGACAAATTGGAAAAGTTAAGAGAGAGGATGGTTAAAGTTAGAGAGCTTTTTCGTGACACAGAGTCTACAGAGTTTGTCATTGTCACTATCCCCACGGTAATTTATACACATTCATCTCCCCAGAGAGGTTCTCCTATCTTCAAACATGACTTAAGTCTAGAGTTCGCATCTCACGGTTTATTAATGTTTGTTGTTGACATTATCTCGTAGGTAATGGCTGTGAGCGAGTCTTCTAGATTAAGTGCTTCATTGAAGAAGGAAAGTGTCCCTGTCAAAAGACTTGTTGTTAATCAGATTCTCCCTCCATCCTCCTCTGACTGCAAATTTTGTTCCATTAAAAGAAAGGTACATATACACAGACACAGACACACACACACAAACCACAATGCATATTCTAAACTTGGAAAATGAACTCTGCAGGACCAAATGCGAGCTCTTGATATGATAAGGGAGGATTCAGAACTCTCAGGTTTGACATTAATGCAGGCTCCACTTGTAGACATGGAGATCAGAGGTGTCCCTGCTCTACGCTTCTTGGGAGATATCATTTGGAAATGAGATCACAGCACACATTATTATTGTAATGAGAAGAAGAAGCAAGTTCAATTGTATGAGATAGTGTTGGTTACAACTTACATTACATAGTTTTGGCACAGTTGTTGGAATGGAATGATACTTAAAACAATAAAATATTGCAATTCTTGGGGAGCAAAAGCCTCAAGATATTTACATAGGTATGCATAGTATAAGACCTACAATAACCCATTATTCTCATGGACAAAAATATTAAGGATCATTCTCGAGGATCTTTGCTAATTAATACTCCTTATGTTTCATTGTAAGTGTCTAAAGTTTTAGGTTCATGCACACAGATTAAGAAAACTATTAATTTTGTATATTTTCCATATAAAAACATAATTACCTATATTTTTTTTTTTTTTTTTTTGGACAAATAAACATAATTACCTATATATCTAACTATATATCAACCAATAGAAAAATAGACTGCATAATAAAAGTAACAAATTTTGTATTGAAAATCGAAAACCACACCAATTTTGTAACGAAAAAAATTATCTAAAACAACATTTAATATGAAACGGAAGGAGTAATTGAAAAACCCTTATATATTAATCAGAAACTGTTATTCGCTTGACTTTCTGTTAGAAGAAAAAAAAAAAACAGAATCTTCAGACCAAACATGTCGTTAGTATCTTTCAGGTAATTAACTTCCCACTACAACGTAATCAAACCATTAATACAAATCATTTCTTAAACACCGTCAAAAAAAAAAAAAAAAAAAAAAGTCAACAAACTGTTCCTTGAAACTCGGATTTCTACCTCCTAAAATGACGAAAACACCCTTAATCAACTTACCGCGCTTATATCTGCAAGGGTGTAAAACCGTAATTTAAGCACAATTTGTTATTACAGCAAATCTTCTTTCTTTCGCTTCCCAACGCAAATCCACACTTCATCCAACGATCTTCCATGTCAGTCTCTTCCCTCCGCCGTTTAGCCGTCGGAGCCGCCGTAATCGCCGCCACATCCGGCGCCACCGTCTACCTCTCCCCCTCCGTTGCCTCCAGCGACAGAGGCGGCGGTCCGATTCTAGATTCGTTGAAACATAAACTCGGCGATGCCTCCGCTTCAGTACCGTCTCGATCTGCTCAAGAGTCTGTTTTAATCAGAGCCACCTCTTCTGATCCTTTAGATGTTTTAGTCATTGGCGGTGGAGCTACTGGCTCTGGCGTCGCTCTTGACGCTGCGACACGTGGACTCCGTGTTGGTCTTGTGGAGCGTGAGGATTTCTCCTCGGGAACGTCTTCACGTTCGACGAAGCTTATCCATGGAGGTATGATCAGATCATCTATTAGGTTGCTCACAATCTTTTAAGATCTACTCTCTTTGCAAATATATCTTTTTTGTTTCAAATTAGATACTAATTTTTTCAAATTTTAATACAAAATTAATTAATTTTATGCTATTAACGTTTTATATTGTATAAATTGTTTTTTAATTGGTTGTATTATGGTTATTAGACAATTAATGATTGTTATTTGTTACCAAAAAAAGACAACTAATAAATTTTTTATACTAAAATTTTCATTTCAAAATAAGTGTTTTTTTAATTGAACAAAAAAAAGTGAAAGTGTTAGTTTTAGAATTTTAATACAAAATTTATTGATTGTATATGTTATTTTATTTTTTATTGATTGATGTGGTTAATTATGTTGATAATGATATTTTTTTGGGCAATTCTCTCAAATAGCTCTCTTTTAAGTTTTTATCACAAAAATAGATCTCAAAAATTAAAATGACCAAAATAGCATTTTATATTTTGAAAATTTTAAGTTTTCTTAATTTTTTTAAATTCGAAACCCTATCTCCAAAACCCCACTCCTCTATTTTAAACAAAAAAATCTAGGATTAGTTAACCAAAAGGTATAAATGTATATTTAAAAAACATTTAAGTGCTATTTTGGTCATTTTAGTTGTTAAGGTCTATATTTGTGATAAAAAAAATTTTAGGTCTCTTCTAGTCATTTTCTCTATTTTTATTTCAATACGCAAAATTAAATATTTTCTTAATCTGTGTGTAACAACTAAAATAAAACAAAAGGATTAGTATATAATTTTTAATTTGTGTGCAATATTTCAAAATGTCAAGTAATAAAAAATATCTTTTCATTTGATCTTTGTTCTTTATTTACACTGAATCTTTGATTAGGTGTTCGATACTTGGAGAAAGCTGTGTTCAACCTTGATTACGGACAACTAAAACTTGTGTTCCACGCCCTCGAGGAGCGTAAACAGCTCATCGAGAATGCTCCACATCTCTGCCACGCTCTCCCTTGTATGACACCTTGTTTCGACTGGTTCGAAGTTGTATACTTCTGGATGGGTCTGAAGATGTATGACTTAGTAGCAGGACCACGGTTATTGCATCTATCTAGATACTACTCTGCTCAAGAGTCTGCTGAGCTCTTCCCTACTCTCGCAAGGAAAGGGAAAGACAAGAACTTGAGAGGAACTGTTGTGTATTACGATGGACAAATGAATGATTCGCGTTTGAATGTTGGGTTGGCTTGTACTGCTGCGTTGGCTGGTGCTGCTGTTCTTAACCATGCTGAGGTTGTCTCGCTTATAACGGATGATGATAGTAAGAGAATTGTTGGTGCTAGGGTTCGTAACAATCTCACAGGTACAACAAACTTGCAACTTCTTGAGTTTAGTATATACAGTATAACCTATTTAAAATAATAATCTATAAATTAATGTACACTAAAAATCTCTATAAAAAATATAATTTTATATTCCCAAATTGAGTTTTTTTTTTTGCTCAATTAGTCAATTAGTATATCGATAAATTAATTAAAAATTATAGTTTTGGTATAGTCAACATTATTAATTTATAGAGATTTCGCTGTACCTTAATGTTCAAAAAATCGCTAGGCGGTAATTAGACGCTTGACAGCTGAGTATTAGTTAGGCGGGCGCTTAGACCGATATTTTGAACATCTAGACCGAGAAAACCATTCAAGAAATTTCGTTGTTTAGGTCCGATTTGCTGCATTAGACTAAGTTTTAGAACATTTTTGTTTTGACAGGCAAAGAGTTTGAGAGCTATGCGAAAGTAGTTGTGAATGCGGCTGGACCGTTCTGTGATTCCATTAGGAAGATGGTTGATGAAGACACAAAACCTATGATATGTCCAAGCAGCGGTGTACACATTGTACTACCTGATTACTATTCACCAGAAGGGATGGGGTTGATAGTTCCTAAAACTAAAGATGGTCGCGTTGTGTTCATGTTACCATGGCTGGGAAGGACAGTAGCTGGGACTACGGACTCTAACACGTCAATCACTCCACTTCCAGAACCTCATGAGGATGAGATTCAGTTTATATTGGATGCAATCAGTGACTATCTTAACATTAAGGTATGTCATGGTTCACCTTAAAAATGAATATAATCAGTTTTAATTCTGGATTTTACCATAACATTAATAAAAAATTTCACTAGGTTCGACGTACTGATGTTTTGTCTGCTTGGAGTGGTATACGTCCATTGGCTATGGATCCAACAGCAAAGAGCACAGAGAGTATCTCAAGAGACCATGTTGTCTTCGAGGAACATCCTGGTCTTGTCACAATCACTGGTGGAAAATGGACAACATATCGAAGGTGAAAGAGTTAGCAGATTTTTTTTTTTTTTTAAATTGTGTTATTATTTAGTCACTCACTGTGATGAGTAAATTTGTTTCAGTATGGCGGAAGATGCGGTGAATGCAGCAATCAAATCAGGGAAGCTGAGTCCAACCAATGGATGTGTAACACAGAAGCTACAGCTTCTTGGTTCACATGGATGGGAGCCATCTTCTTTCACATCTCTTGCGCAACAATACGTGCGCATGAAGAAAACATACGGTGGTAAAGTAGTTCCTGGAGCTATGGACACAGCTGCTGCAAAGCATTTGTCTCATGCCTATGGTTCATTAGCTGAACGAGTAGCCACCATAGCTCAGGTTCGGTTCTTTTTTATCTTCATACCGTTTTTAGGTCTGGTTTATGATTTTGGTTATGAAATGTAGGAGGAGGGTTTGGGGAAACGGTTGGCACATGGACATCCGTTTCTGGAAGCAGAGGTTGCGTACTGTGCAAGGCACGAGTATTGTGAGTCAGCGGTTGATTTTATAGCGAGGAGATGTAGAATAGCGTTCTTGGATACAGACGCGGCGGCGAGGGCGTTGCAGCGTGTGGTGGAGATTCTAGCGAGTGAGCATAAGTGGGATAAGTTGAGGGAGAAGCAGGAGTTGCAAAAGGGTAAAGAGTTTCTTCAAACGTTTAAGTCTTCCAAAAACGCACAGTTTCACGATGGCAAACACAATTGAAGCTGCCTGCCTCTGTGGAAAATTTAAACTATTCTAATTGAATTTATTATTTTCTTTCTATATTACAATGGTTGGTGGCTCGTGGGTATTAGCCACTAGAGAGAAGGAATAAATGGTATACGGATGGAATAATACTGTGACTACTCAAATGTTTATTGGATTAAACAAACAATTTGTTTGTGTCTTCTTAATGGGGAACTCGAGACTGATGTTTAGTAAGAACTTTTGTTGTTATGTGATGCTAAGATGAAAACAGATGGGGACAGAATGTAAAGGTCACAGACAAAACAGAGCAACTCGTGAATTTTACACTCTTCTCAAATTCATTGTTGAGGCTACACTGCAATCATCTGTAATCGCAATTCATTTCAGGCCGTAATATAACAACACAATCAAAAATGAGAATGGAGTGAAGTTTTTGTACAAACGAAATCTCTACCAACGAATTTAGACAAAACAAAAAGCTCTCAAAGCTCTCAAAGCAAGGTCTTGGTTCCGTATTCCACAAAGGCAAAACAAGATGCTCACGAAGCTAATAGTAACTAACGAGAAAAAATAATGAAACCAGGACACCATCCATCGCAGCTTATGAAAACAATGCAAGCATAAGAAGGAAGATGATATACATTTCAATGTCTCTCGCCATTGTGATTTTTCTGCAGCTTTATGAAAACAATGCAACAGATTGGCTGCTGGAGAGAGAGTCTGTGATATTAGTGAGAAAGAATTTCTGAAAGGCGAGATTGAGCATCTGTAGGAGTATCTCTTCCAGGAACATTCACCTTTAGAAGATTAGAATACCTGCAACGCCCAATATAATATTCATTTTGAATAAGTCGAAAAACAAGTCTCAATCAACGGAAAATAAAAGTTGAGAAGCAGACTCTGTGGGTGTAAACATTTGGTCATGTTCCGCTACGAATGCAAGCAACGTCTGCAGAGAAACCAGGTAAAGATAATATGAGTATAAGAATGATTAAGGACAAGCAACGAGGGGAAACAATATTTTCTTTGGCTAACCTCGAATGGCATGTTTAGTAGTTCAAAATAAGTACGGACACGATCTAGGTTCTGTTGTACGCTTTCACCATCTATATATGGCATAGCTGACATGGCCTGTAATGTATAATAACACACAGATGTAGACAGTGATGCTATTGGAAATGATTAAACTAAACATAAACTGATATTTACCTGTTCCAATGCAATAGTGTTCCGACAAATTTGTTGAACTCCAAAAAGGTTTATCGATCTCATGTCAGCCAAAGCCTAGAAAAAATACATAAATAAAAGATTTTAACGATTACGAAGATGATGAAATCAAATGTCAGATAAATAACTGTGATTGGTATATCAACATTTGAATACCAAAGATTCTTATTAGTTACAGTAAATAAAAACAGGTTTCAAAGATGAAAAGAAGACCTTAGTGGACGCACTCGCTGCAATTCCGCAAATGCCACCAAAAACATAATTGCGCTTCTCACCAGAGATGAAAGGCGCCATTCCCTCGTCCCTACGTGTTATCTGTTTAAAAAGGAGAAAGAGTCAAACATTTGGGTGCAGAAATATATAAGTTGAAGAGATTATCATCTCGTAACACCCAACACACTATACAAGAACGTTAATTCACTGCAACGAATTAAGATGACTTCATTTTTGGCTAACTAGATTCTCTCAGCAGAAGAGAGTGATACGAATATTTGATAGCTGTGAAACTAAACAAGATTTTAAAGTTATATAACCAACCTGTGAAGTAAGAGAAATGACGAAGTCGTCTGGCTCTTCAGTGTCGTCATCCTCCAAGTATTCTCGATTAGTCATTTCCTTATCAACAAACACCATAGTATTTCGTAAGTTTTACAGGCCACATATTGAATTTCTCATAGCCATGCAACCTTCCTAACAGAGGAAACATCCATCACATACCTGAAGATGAAAGACTGTTTCAAGTTGCATCTCAACACGAAGAACCTTTAGGCAATCAGTCGCAAGTTTTCTGTACTCATCCGCAAATGATGCGAGATTCCTGCTATTACCTTCAGCTTGACTTGCTGTACGAGGAACTGCTTGTCCAAGCCTATAGATTTTGGCATATCAAAACTTCAGACTGTGTTTTATTTGGGGCTTGCTAAAGAATCTGATCCAACCAACTCACCTCTCAATAGAGTCTGCCACGTATTCAAGAGAGTCACTAAGAGAGGCCAATAAAATCAGTTTGTTGTCATCACGGATTAGATTATCCTGTAAGAAACACACTTACTTTAAAAATCTTCACCAAATGGAAAATTATTACTGAATATGTTTCAGACAACAAATGAAATTTACCTGCTTGATAGACGGCAAACTTAAGAATAGTTGACAGAGTTCTACGTCGGAGCCAATAGCCTCAGAGTGAGAAACAGAATGGCCAAGCAGAGATGGCAAACAATCACTCGCCGGATCAAGTCGCATCAATTTCTCAATATCATGCCTCCCAATAAGCCTGTAACTGAGCTTCTCTAGCACAGCCTGAGATATTAAAAATTAAACTTATGCTCAGAAAATTGTGTGCAATGAAAGAGATACATCAATTTAGATTTAGGGACACTTGAGGCGTAGAATGGTAAGACAATGGTGAAGAGAAATGCAATTTTTATCAAAGATGGCAAAAAGGCGAATAGAAGATTGGCTAACACCATACTCTATTATCTCTCTCTTTGAATCAAAGTTTCTCAGGATTATTCCTTTAAGCATTTAATGACAAGTTCTGCTACATGGATTCTCACAAGCTGCTTAATAACCTACATTTATACTGTAGGCTACGTAAAACAATGCCAAAAGCCTAAAACAGAGTACTGCAATTACTTCATTAAGGAGGCCAGTTTTCACGTAGCTCAAATTGAACGCTAGCTAGCTTCACGATGTTCATGACACTGTAGACTCTAAAACCACCGTCATATTAATCTAATTTATACACAACCAACTGACAAGGCTAGTATTTAGTCTACGATTTGTTCTAACAGTGCAAAACCTTAAACCAGATGTCAGACATATAAGAAGATTTCAATAGTCAGAGAAGAGGAAACCAAATGAGCAACGATAAAGATTCATACCTCCATGTATGATGTGCGACATCTCTCAAATGTTCTCTCAAGAAATGTCTGAACATACTTCACAAGGTCAGTAGCGAATTTAGGCATGGCTTGAGCCCAACCAAGAACCTAGAAAAAGGTTGAGGAGTAAGTTAGTTCATAAAACAAAAATACCATGAAGCTGAGAACACGAAAATGGATTAAATGATGAACTGGAAGTAAGCATCCATTTGTGTAAGGCCGATCCAAAATGTGAAAAGCAACAAAGTGTAGTTTCCAGTTTAAAAGCATAGACAACTTACCTCTTTCGCAAGGAGATCTATTGCCAAAAGACCTTGTAAGATAGGACGACCTTTTTCTACGGTTGGGGTGTAAGTAGTTGTATGTGCACGAGGCCTAAATGCGGCGGCACCTGCAAAATTATTTTGCGAGCCATGGGTTTCCAACCTTGAATATATGCAGATATAGACACTGACACCACTGATACTTCATTTTCATTTTTTTCCTAACTAGTGAAAATGCAACTATTCGTATAAAAACTTTCTTGCCAAGATATCTTTCAAAATAGGTGCAACAATTCTCAAAGACGCCTCAACCTTTCATGAAACTGCCATACGACTATTATTTTTGTAAGAAAATGCTTCTACTACCACCAGGCGATGTATTCAAGTGTTTGGAACCAAATAGCAGCTCCCCCTTTCATGATGCAATTTCTATATACTGTTAGAAGAAAATTATCCTAAAGTAGCAACAAAAAACGCTATGATCAAATCTCTATAGTCTACGGAACTAACTTGATATAGCTTGCTGTACGCCTTTCCTATAGTCCACAAACATTGTCGGTAACAGGTGGTCCTTCACAAAGTTCTCAGTGAACGTAAGCAATCCATCATTCCTGTATTACCAAAAACTCCATGGTAAAAATACTGGCAACTTTTCAATACTTTATAGGAAAGCGGAAATTCTGAACTTACACAAGCTGGGAATGCTTTTTAGGCAACATTGAAGTGATTTTATCTGTAAACTGCAAGACACGAAAGATCATAAGTCTACTGAAAAACAGATGGCATGAATGAAAAAGGCTTTGATGAACCAGAATCAAAACCTGAAGGACAGGCCGATAAATTGATGCAGCAAGATATATTCCCTGTTCAGGCAATACTGCTGCAGACCCATAACCTTCCTGTGCTGAATTTGGAGCCCTCTTTCCCCAGCCTTGGCGAATTAGATCAGCTCCTGCCAGCAGCAGAAAACGTCATTAAGCCTACCAAAGGCTTTATAATAAAATAAAAGCCAGGATAGTTGATTAATACCCTGATTAGAAAGCGATACAGTTGCATCTGAAAATCGAAAGGTGAATGTTAGCCCATCTGTAGGTGCATTCCTGCAGTCCACCATCATCAATCAAGCATTAATACTACTAACCAAACTGGAGAGTTTTACGTTCAAATTTGTGTCATACTCTTCAATTTGTGTCATACTCTTCAGAGCTCCACTTAACTAGAGCTCTGAGAAGAACCTAAATGATAAATTTCTAGACTTGGGTTTTGTAAAACCTTCTTATTAGATCATCAGAAGAAATTTCTGCTCTAATATACTCCCTATATAATCGAATAACCATATCAGGTGATTCCCAGCCGAATGAAAACATAACTGTACACGGAAATGAGGCCTATCTTTAAAAAATCTCAAATGTCTAAATCTTGGGACATGTTTCGTTGTCTATGTATCTAATGCTATTGAGAAAACCATCTCAGTAAATGTATGAACTGCAATTGTTAGAAATCACTTGCTTTTTTTCTTTTTTGGAAGCCTTCTTTGCAACTTTAGCAGTTTGCGCAGCAGCATCGGCTGAAGCAGCTTCTGGAGTTGCTCGTAGAATCTCACATATGAGTTGTTGGCATTCACTCTTCACCATTAACACGT